GTTCTGAATGTCTGTCAAGTCTTCAGTCAAATAGTGCCACTGAGTGCATTTACATGCACTTAATAATCCGATAACTGCAGAATGTGAGATTTTGTCACTAATCCAGTCAGCGCATTTACATGCACTTGAGTAATCAAATAATGGGGAAACTCCAGGGTCTAAATGAGTCAGGCAGTAAACAGATTTCTGCTTTGCAACCAGCTAATAAACTCATAGAAAAAGATGTGACGTAAATGTAATCCAAAACTCAAACTTCATGCCACATTGTTTAGCATTACTTTACCTGAAAATATGAACATAGATCATCTACATGGTGAATATTTAAATTCTTCATGTCGTCAAGCATGTATTTGGTTTCAGCATCCCTGCAAAAGTGTTTTGCTGCATCTCGCAGCAACATTGCTTGCTTATTTCCAGTACCGCCATCTGTTTTCACACATGCACAGACTGAAAAAACTGGAAGAAATCAGAGTAAGAGTTTGCAGAAATCCAATGATCAGATTATTATGCACCCTCAAAGTAGCAAACAATAACAGGGCATGGGCATTAAAGCACAGTACTACAGCTCTAATAAGGATAAGGACATCCAGACCAGGGTGAACGAGAACCAGTGATGCAGGTAAGCTCCTTCCCACCAAGTCAACAGGTGTTCCTCTCAAAGAAGTGATGCCATCTCCCCACTCAAGAAGAGAATCCAGGATCTAGCATATCTTCAAGGTCTTACGTTTCACTTAACTATGACATGACAATGAAATAGCAATGAAATGAATGTAAACCCCAACATTACTTATTAACAACAGTAACATATGGAAATAAAGTGTCATTCAACTAACTATCATTCAACTGTTTCTATACAAGTACACAGTGGAGCGAAATCACATTCCGCCAGGAACACGGTGCAACATGGGACAAAATAGATAGTACAAAGTGCAGATGTGCAGACGTAAGTGTGCAAAACATTAAACTAGAACTAATACATTAAATATGATAAATAAAACGGACATTAGACACAATAAACAGACAGGACAGTGCAGCGCAGATACAGCACTCATTTCTGAGCATGAGGTAGTGGAATAAGGTATTTTCGCAGCGCCGTGGATCATAGCAGGCCCAGCTCTTCCCCCAGTCCATCTGGAAGCAGAGATTGTGACTGATTTCTCAGCTGTAGCAGGATTTGCTGATGGTAGACGTTGGTGCTGGTTGTTGCAGTCATGATTTTTGAGTTTTGCTCAGGTTACAATAACAAATAGTGAAACAAAAGAGCAAAAAAGCACCATTTTGTTGTTCCTGAAGTGGCAGCTGCAGGTGCATGCTGTGCCGCCGGAACAATAAAGTGATTTCAGCAATAAAATGAGTTATACTTACCTTATTTCCTTACTCAAGAGTAGTACTGAGCCCTTCCACATTAACCAAAAGAAAATGTTACATTTAAGAGCTCATAATCTGATATTGTCAACAACATAGTCTAAGCTCCAACTGTACTCCTGTTGTGGACTCGACAGCTCACACTAACAGCCAGCTGGAGGCGCTGTTCCTCCAACAGTGGCACATGACCAAAACTTGAAAATGACGGCTAGTTACAACTTCCATTAGCTTTAGGTTCAGCACTATGTTCTTTTATTTTATATTTTATATTTTTGGGTCTTTAACACATACATTTGTTTAGTTAAAGAACTTAAAACATGACTCTCAGTGCTAACAGGTTTAAAGTGAAGCTAGGCTAGAGTGGCTGAACTGCAGGAACGCCTGGTCTAATGCTCTGCATTTACTAGCTCAACTGAAACTTTCACTTACCAAGACAAAAGAAAATACAAAGCAGGAATCGATCCTCGGAATCATTGTTCTTGGTCTGTATCGCTTGATAGTACAAATAATCACCGTGTTGCTCAGTTTATAGCATGTTTGCAGTCTGTTTTACTAGTTCATTTTTCTGTTTAAGCTCCACTTTATCGTCTATTGGAGCAAGCTCCTTTGCTCCAATAGGAAACTAGCATTTTTTCAAATCAGTCAAGTCAACCAATAAGATTCAAATTCCACACAGGAAATGTATTGTGAACTTATGTTCTGTTCTGGCTAGAAAAATGTTAATATTTCAAAGAGACTGATTTGGAGACTTTTTCTACTGGGTTACATAAAGTGCAAAATGCGAGGAATTTTCTTTCTAAGAAAATTGGCCACCGAACGTTTGTGAAAAATGAATAATTGAATTGAATAATAAAGAACTGAATGCATCAAAGCTGTTAAAAAGACACTTTTGTGATATAGCAAATTGACCCCACCCCTCACGCCAAATTTAGCGAACCAGCTAAGGCATGTTTTGTGACTGTTTAAGCTTGATTTTAGTCTGTACTGTTGTTTATTTGTCTGTCCGTGTGTTTTACCTTGATGTCCTCTACGACAGAGTGTATTGTGTTAGTGTAATACAGTCAGTCGTAGAGAACTGACTGTATTATACTACGTCCTCCATGACTGACTGTATTATGCCAGTGTAATGTGTTCGTTGTAAACCATAAAGCCCTTCTGACTGCAGTGTTGACTTCTGGCCATCCTGGTCATTCAGGAAAACTGTCAAATGATTTATAAAAGTTTAAACATGTGAATACAGTGCTACAGTGTTGGAAGTTATTGGTAAGTAATGTAAACCTCTACCTGTGTTAGAAACACTGAGGTGAAGTAGTTTTGTTGTTGTAAATATATTATCTTGATGTAACGTTAGCTAGCTGGCTAAGTTAACTTCTTATTTTTATGCTTTTGTGTACCTATAGCTAACTAGCGCTAAGCTGTCACTGTTGGCATGTTAGTTAGCGCATTAGTTCGCGGTTAGCATGTTAGCATATTAGCTAGCGCATTAGTTCGCAGTTAGCAGTTAGCACGTTAACTCAGGCTTAGCATGGTACCTTAGGGTTAGCGCATTAGCTGGTGGTTAGCATGTTAGCTCAGGCATTGGACATTAGCTACTTTGGCTCTGAGATGGGGTCAGTGGTATTGTTTCAGTGGTGTGGTTGCTAAGCTGAAATGTGTTTTTCTGTGTTTTCTCACAACATTTGTATTTGTCTTACTGAATCTGGCTAACTGTACTGTACTCTAAAGTTCTAAATATTGCTGTTCTACAATGGAAAATAATTGGAAAACTAAAAATAGAGATGATATTGTGTTAACAAACCCTTATGAACATGATCAATACTAATATGAATTTCTACAGCATTCCAAGAAGAAACAGCAGCTGTCCAGCACTGGCCAATGCTTTGATGAAAACACAGAAGTGCTACCTTTCAAAACAAAACAATAAGTCTTATTAGTAATTTGATTCATGTTATTTATTATGTCATATAAATTGATCTTTTAAATGGTCACATCATGTCATATAATGATTAAACATGCAAATTAACATAATTGGTTTGTATGAAGGTTCAAAGGCAAATGTATATAAACAAGCCTAAGTCCAAAATATTTGGACATAACGTGAAATGCGAATAAAGACAAAAAGCAGTTATTAGTAAATCTACTTTGATCTCTGTTTAAACAAAAGCAGAACAAAGACAAGATATTTGATGTTTTATCTCATCAGCTTCATTGTTTTTGTACATTTAGGGTATAAGTGGGTAACCTGTACATCTGTGAACGCACTATTACCGCCAGACAAAATGTTGAGCAACATATGCTGCCTTTTAGATGCTGTCTAATCAGAGAGTGCAGACTGACCTGCCTGTCTCTCACTGAAAAAGCTTTTGGCTCACTTATGGCCCTAATCCGGTATGTCCGTGGTGCACATCTAGCAAATGGGAGCGGTCCGCCCGAGTGCCGTCAATCCATGTGGCAAATGCACCTGATGAAATGGGAGGGGCGGTGTGGGCCAGACATGAGATGGACAGGATGTTTTAAAATGCCCAGGGTGACCACAACACAGACACAGCCCTTCTCTCATTCTTTTTTGATTCTCTTCAGAGGACAGCTTGGCTCAGACCCATAGATCTCCATAGGCTCTGTGTCTTGCAAGGAGAAGGTGTGGCTAGGGGGTAGAAGAGTGGTGCATTTTGCCATTGGCCTGAAATTAGATTGTCTAGCTTTAATGACAGCAGAGTTGGGAAAAGCACAGATGATCATCCTTACAAGTGAGTTCAGATCTCAGTGTCATTAAGTATATGATGAAAAATATTTTCTAGAGCTTTATCATTCCTGCTAGATTGAGTGGACACATTGTTTAAAAACTCCAGCAGCACTGCTGTGTCTGTAACTGTAGAACTACAAAGTGATCATGTATGGTCAGTGGAGCTGATAAAATGGACAGTGAGTGTAGATACAAGGTGCTCGTATTTAAGTGCTCAGTGAATGTATTTCTTGCAGGACATAGAGATGGCATGGTATCATTATTTGACTGTGTGGTGTTAATGCCATTGTAAAAGTTTTTTTTTAAAAAAGTTAAAAGTACTAAGGCTTTGTTTACAGAGGTGGATTTGAAGTTCATTTTTCTCCACTTACGTTCAGCTTTCCCCTTTCAGGGCTTTTACCATCATTGGTGTTTCATAAATGGTTACAAAGATGTTTAATACGTCAGTTTTAGCTCTTTAGCTCTATTCACCCTCATTCACTGAGGTGCCCGCTAGCTTTTATCAGTAATTTTTTGGTGTAATGGGAGAAATAGGAAGTGGCGGGCTCCCCTCAAACTGTATCTGGTGGTACTGCAGTTGAATGTTTATCTATCAATTCTATTATTATCACCCAGATTATGACAGCTGGACATAAATGTTCTAATAATGTAATGTTGGGATAAATGTCTGATCAATCAGGACTTTACTGCTCATAAACTAAAAATGTTTTAGTCACTGTAATCATAGCAATAGTCAAAGTCATTACACTTGATGTAAATTTTGTGAATGCTGAGAGTTTATTAGATATTTTTAGCAGTAAGAAACAGTAATATTTCACACACAGACAATGCTTATTTTATAGAAAGGACTGAAGCACTGTAGTGGTTTAACTAAAGCTAAAACCACAGGAACTTTTGCTGCATCGCTAAGTAAATGATGATCTGATCAGTCTGTAACCTCCTCCGTGGGGTTTTCAGGTTCTGTCTCTCTCCAATCTGTAGAAAAACAAAGTTTAACAGGATTGATGATTGACTCACATGAACTGCTGCATCCTTAATGTTGTTTTATAAATAGAGATACATTATATTCATTGATGTAGTTTAGTATTAATTCTAGAGACCTGTAGAGTTCAGTTTCAACTGGAATCACACACAACCAGTCTTAGACTGATTACAAATGAAGTGAACTTTCTAATGGAGAGGTTCTCAGATTTTTGGTTGTTGTAGGTCATTAGGAACATGCAGTTCCACATACAATGATGTTTAATAGCAAACCCTTCAACAACAATGTGGTTTTGCAGATGTCTATAAGTCAAATTGTTGAAAATTTATAAAATTTAATTGTAGTTTAGACATTTCATGTGACAAAACCTTGTACAGTAACCTCAAAAAATCCAGGAGCAACTTCTATGTGCTCGGTCTAATTGATCGTCTGAAAAGGGCAGCTGGAACTGAACTCAGCAGTGTAGATGTCTGTGGATGGGTACTGGAACCAATGTAATGAAGTTATACCTTTAAACCTCAGGGTAGACAGCATACAAGCCAATACCACACTGGTTATTCTTGTTCCTGGCTATTCTGTAGTAGCCTCTTTCACCCCACTGAACACCATAGCTGGAAAAATAAATTACTGTCAGTGTTGGATATTCAGAGCAATTGTCTGAGTTGAAGTCTCATTTTGGTTTTGTGATTAAAGCACTTCACCCTCCTGAGCAGTGTTCATTTTTTTGTTTCAATCTGTTTTTATATGTTTGTCTATTTATAATTATAACATTTTTACTTATATGGTAATAGATAAATAGATTTATAATTTATAGTCTAACTGTTAGTAGTTTTAGTCAATGACGATAGGATTTTAGTCAATGAAAACGGGAAAGAAGGGGGATGAAGGAAGAGAGAGGGAAGGCATGAGTAGTGAAGAGGAAAGATAGGACAAAAGGAGTGAAGGTGGGAAGAAGACAAAAAGGACGGAAGGAAGTTGACTAATAGAAAGGCTTTGATCAGAAGGTTAAGCAATTGTGCAGTGCAACCACTAAAATCACAAAAATACATAATACAATATGAAATGGGTCATAAGCAAAGTAAATATCTCAAAAATGTAGGTAATCAAGATCATTGAATGCTATGAACAGTAAAATGACAGGGAACACCACAGTAGAAGAGAATAAGTATTTCCTTAACAAGAGCTCATTCAGCCAGATTAAAACTAGTGATTTAGGTACATACAATAGATAAGCTGACATGAGCAAATTAAAGGCTTAACATAAAAAGATAGCAAATCACTAGATACAAAGCATGGAATAGAACAGACTGGAATCTTGACTATGTGCTAAAGAGAAGAGTGGGAGATAAGCATGAGGAAGGAGGGAACGGGGAAGCAGGCATGAAGGAGAAAAACAGACAATGTCAAGAGAGCGGAGCCATGGCGGCTGTATCACCGCTTGGAATAGCTGTTGATGGGGTGATGCTGTGTAGAATGCGTTTTGGCATGTGATGTCAACGCGTAGGGCATGTGATATCAACGCGTAGGGCATGTGATATCAACGCGTAGGGCATGCGTTGTCAGTTCTGGCAGAGATTCGTGTCACAGAATGCACTTCTGTACGCCACAGTTCAGTTAGGTGTTAAGGAGGAAGCTTGCAGATGCAAGGGCAGGAATGGAGCTGCTGCCCTGCAGTAAGCGCTGAGTCCGGGCAGGGAGAGCATGTGGCCGAGGAAGTCAACTGGGCGGGCAGATCCTATCGAGGCAGCACTAGCCAGAGAAGCAGGAACAAGGAAAATGAATTTCAGTTGGAAGTTGGCTGGGCTGTGTAGTAGGAAGGAGCAGACAGACAGCTGAGGAGCATTCAGGAGTCAGAATGGCTTGTAGCAGTACTGGCATCTCATGACCAAGTGGCTTCTTCACAGGAAATAAAAGGTAAGGATGGGAATTTATAAAGTGATATATTAGAAGAAGGAGGGGTTTTAGACATGGCCCTCTTCCAAATTTTCAGTTAATCCATTGTTTCAACTCATTATGATTTGAGTGATGTGTATGCTTCTAGCTCCTGCAGTGTATACACAGATGCAGTATTTAGGGTAAATATAGATGTCTGGCTTTGCCATCATGTCACATATAATCAGTACTCAAAATAACCTACATCCAATCAACAATATTGCCACTGGGTGCCTCTTCTTGGTTCTCAAATACTATCTGTAAATCAAAATACTACTTAAAATACTGGTCTATAAGTAGGCTTATGAGACTATGGGATATAAAGTGTTGAAGTCTGAAATATTAGGGGGGTGATGGAAAAATTTGAATAAATACACCCTTAATCAATAATCAAACAGATTAGGTATGTAATCAATAATCAGATAGGTTAGGCATGGGCTAAAAGGAAATATTAATTTCTCTTAACATAGGAAAAGCAAAAGGCCATAGACTGTGTGCATTCTAGCTTAGTGAGGTCCCTGAACTTACATGCAGGTGTCTGAGTGACCTTTGTGAACTCTCATGAAACATTATAAGAATGTCTTTGCAAGATGGGATGGACGGGTACGAACTGGATGAAACCAGCTTTTCAAAAAGGAGTGTTGTATACAATTGGAAATAAGGGGGGCTAAGGAATGTAGAGGTTTTGAATGTAATGGAGACTAATGGAAAATCAAAACTGATAAGACGGTGGGGTGACACCATATCACCCCAGCTAAAGGATATAAATGGCATTGTTCAAAAATTGTCTTTTGCATTTGGCGTCTCCGGAGACCACTTTTCATTCAATGCTCAAATAAATTCAAGTACCTTTTTTCTCTTTCCACAAGAACTCGGCATCTGAAGTCTTTTTTCTTTTTGATACTTTTTGAGAACGTAGTTATTATTTATTAGTGTAGTTATTAGTGTAAGTGTTTAGGCAGTATTAAAGATAAAATCATATGTCCGAGACCTTGGACTGTCATATATATATATGCTCCTGATGCCCAAACAGTACTCTGCTGTCCTTTTATGTTAACTATGATCAGTAATTGTCTGTTTGATGTTCTGTTGTTTTGATGTCTTGTTCGTCTACCTGTTCTTTAACAGCCAGTAGTCCCCATTGATGCGGTCAGTGCCGTAACCAACAACAAGGACAGCATGATTCAGCTCAGTGCCTCTGCAGTTTGGCTCATTATACACCCCTGCAATTAGAACATTCAACCATTAACCCATCACTAAATTACTCTGTTAATCAATTAATCAGTAAAGCTAAGACACTGAACAAGAGTAAACCGAGTCACTGGGAGAACACATAGTCTCAGACTCAACTCCCAGCAACAGTGTCAAATTCGCTCCTGTATCCCGGTATCCAGACATGCGCCTCAGTAAAGACAGCTCATGGTGATGATTGAAGTAGAACTGTTTGTCTGGGCAGCTTTTGACAAGGTGCTAAGGGTCAGAGTGTGTAGACTCTGGGTGCACACACACACCATTTAAGACGCTTCTCTTTCTGGGTCGCGGGAGGTTTTGGTGCCTATCCCAGCTGTCATCGGGCAAATGACCTGGACAGGTCACACACACAGACTCACTCACACCTAGGGGCAAGTTAGCATGTCCAATTAGCCTAACTACATGTCTTTGGACTGTGGGAGGAAACCCACGCAGACACAGGGAGAACATGCAAACTCCACACAGAGCCGGGGAATCGAACCCAGGCCCTTCTTGCTGTGAGGCGACAGCGCTAACCACCGCACCACCATGCCGCCTGTGAGCGCTGCAGTATTACTGAATTTGATGTGTACACTTCCACTTCCAAAAAGTCTAAACATGGAAATGTTTACTGCCAAAACCTGCTTAAGGAGACTGCCAGTCTAATGACGTGAATTCATTGCACAGTAGCTTTAGCTCATATGTAGCAATATTCATATTTCAACTCTTTAATGACTTCATAATTCAGAGGATCCAGTGATATTCGAGAGAAGAAGGTTCACAGGACGAAATGTATCGGGTTCAGAACATTTGTATTTAACACAGGGTGTGATAGAGGCAATTTTTCGAAAACCCTATTCATTCTGCCGATAGAGAAATGGGGCTTAGACCCGGAGTTCCTTATATGGGCAAAACAGCATGGCGCTGACAACAAAATGACGACATGACTGCAGTGGTCTATCCCAGTTTACCCCCTGATGATGAGTGAAGGTTCGTTTCTGAGGGTTACCTGATTCATAGAACCTGAAGGAGGGTTCGGAAGCAATTACGCCTACAGAAATAGGTCCGATTACAGCTACAGCATACTGAAGACTCCTTTCATCTCCTCTGGGCAAGAATCTGTAGCCTCTGCAGGTAGCCACAACATACCATGGATTAAACCGGCACAGACCAACCTGAAGTGAAATGAAAACAATCAGGATGAGTTAATGAATGACTAGCCTCCTGGTTCAAAGTTGAAAGTGAAAGTTGAAAAAATGTCTATGCTATGCTGACGTACTTTTGTACATTTGTGACGCTAGTGTGTGATGACTTACATGCAATCAGTATCAGTTCTTTTTAGCTACATTAGCAAAATTAAAGAACCAAACTTCAGATGCTAATAAGCTGGCTGAAAACTACATTTGTGATCAAGGAAAAACTGTCCATCTCAGAAGCTTCACTTGACATTAGTGTCACCTTGGCCACGTATGGATAGGTGTTCTCTGCCTGCAGGCCTCTTCTGTCGATGACATCCTTAAAGGCCCGGTCCGGCAGACTACCTTTATAGCTGTTCCTTCTAAAATCCTCAGAGCAGTCGACCAACTGTTGCTCGCTCAGGGATATCAGCCTCCCCGTCTTCCGAAACATCTGGCCCTCTAGCGCCCCTGCCTGAGAGAGAGGGATGCATACAGACACATGAGTTGCTTGGAACTCCTAGAGAACATTGCCCGTGTTTCTCTTTCTAGCCCTTCATCAGTGGTCAGCTTCTGACTACAGAGCTGCTCTTGGCTGAATAGTTTTGGGTGATGGACCACTCTCATCCTAGCAGTGACGTTTGTAGGAACCCCAAGAACACTGCTGTAAGCCAAATGGTTCCCAGGGCCATACTATGCATTTTCCCGATAGTGGCGACTCTTGAGACCAGTTCCAGACTTCTTTATTATTGATTTTTTTATTTTATTATGTTGTATTTTTTATAGTATATATTATAATATTTGTTGCCGTTTTTCTTAAGCAATAAGCAACTTGAAGCAGTGTGTTACAAAGATTTCATCACAGATTTAAGGTAGCATCACTCTTAAACCACAATACAATCACTGTAACAAATGTGCTCCTATGGGTTATTGCTTTAATATGCCAGTGCTGCTGTCCCTTTGCAAACATGCAGGTGCTTGGCAATGAGTTAACAAGTTGTTATAGTGATACCCAGCACATATTCTCAAACAGCCTACTGCAGGTTTCTTTACTAACAAACAAATTTGGTTTGTTTATGATATGACTGCTAGGATTTAAATTTCTTTAATGTTTTCATGGCTGCTACTCGACATTGCTGTGTTTTCTTGCAGTGGTTAACATGCAAATTTCTTTATAGACTGTCATATAAACATACTTTGTTAATATGAACATACTTTCATAATTTTAGTATATACAGTTATACAGCTTAGCAATTAGCTGTTTGAACAAAGAGGCTTTACAAGCTTATTTGCCATGACCAGCACTAGCCTACATTTAGTCATCTACATTTATGCAATGCCTTTGCTTCCTTCAGCATATTTCTATGTTCATACACTTGTTTGTTCATACAAGACACATTTTTAAAACAGAAAGTTGTGGAAATATAATGTAGCCCTGGCTGTAAATAGTGAGAAGACAGTTTTAAATAATACAAACGGGAGCTAAATGACTCAGCACACAGCGAAACATGAGCACATAAGTAACTGAACTAGAGAATGCACAACGCGTGTTCTAGGCAAATGCCAGTTTACAAGCTAGCTTACAAAAACCCTGCCCACGGTCAGCACTTATTCTTTCTGCCCTCTTTTTTTATTTTATTTCAAATTTTCAAGTTATCTTTCCATCCCTTTGTTTTTCTCTATCTGTGCTTCTATAACTCACCGCGCTGAAGGCCCAGCAGGAGTTCAAAGGATTTTGGTTTTTAACTTGAGTCACGTAGCCCTTGTTTCTCCAATCTACAGAATTTGGTAGATTAGCGTCCCCTGCCTGTCTGATGTGTGCAGGTGCACTGTGGGCCTTGGTCATGTTAAAGGATCCCAGGCAGCTGCCGAACCCGGCCTGGAACTCCTGGTTGTCCTGTTGGAGAGGGAGACGGTGGGAGATTTAATGGCCTTAGCAAATGTCAACAATAATTACCTGAAAATGCATAATAAATAACAGAATTACAAACAACTACTGTTTATAAATTGTGAAAATAAATTAAAGACATTTGAGTGGGTTTGTGTATATGGAAGTTCTCACCATGTCTGCAAAGTGGTTTAGGCCAAGTCTATAGCTTTTGATGCCCTGGTCAGCGAGCATGTTGTGCTCCTGGACCAGCTTACGATTGTCCAGCCAGATCATCTTACGCCGAGACTCTTCTTCCACTGAACCATAACTCTTACCTTTGAGGAAACAGATACATATACTTAAACAACATGTTTCTAATATCTAAGACTTCAGAACATAAAAAAATTAATTCCAGTCCAATTTAGTAACTTTAACAAATGTCTTTAATTAGGGGTGACCAGTCGCCTACAGTAAGAGAGGTGAGCCATCAACTGAAAGGTTGTGGGTTCAAATCCCACAGTTGACTAGGTATACCTGCCCCAGTTGGCACTGCTCTGCTGGCAACACTCTGCTGTTCCCACATTTGGTAGAGTTAGGCAGCAAAATAACATTTCAAGCTGTTTCTTTGAAAAAGTAAAGCTACTTTAAGGTGCACGCATTGCTGACAAAGGCTTTCAGTTGCGCACTCACAGCTTATATAATTGCAGAAGAAAAACACTGATCAATAGAAAAGGTCAGGCTGGCTTCAACTAGAGGGTATAAAGACCCCCAGCATTGAGCTGTGGAGCAGTGAAACTGCGTTCTCTGGAAACCATTCTTCATCTGGCATCTATAGAATTATGTCCCTCCAACTTTGTGGAGCAATTTGGGGTTTCAGCAGAACACAAAGCAAGCTTCATAATGAAATAATTTGGTGAGTTTGGTGCGGAAGCAATTGATCAGCCTGCGTCTCAACCACCATGCAACATTTTTGGGATGAAATGCCCATTGTCAGATTTGTAAGATTAGTGATGCTCACTAATGCTCTTGTAGCTGAATGGAAGTAAATCCCCTCAAACATCTTCCAGTATCTAGTGTAAAGCCTTTCAACAAGAGTGGAGGCTGTTACTGCAGCACAAAAAGGGGAAAACTCCATATTAAACCAGTAAACAGGACCAATGAGGCCATCATGTAGTTCTAGAGATATTGAACTGATTTATTCCTAAACATACAAAACATTATTCCTATATCTCCCATGGTTCATGTACACTGTTTTAGTCCGGTGGGGGTGTCTACCATGACTAACTTAGTTTTTAACTGCTATTTCAGTATAGTGCTTCTGGGAAATTAACAAAGATCTGCACTCTGAGTCAGTCAATATGCTGAACTGCGAGTCAACAGAAAGCAAAGCTAGTTTTAATCTCATACCACTGAAAAACTGCTATTAACACACACTGCAATAAAACTCACCATTAAAAGTACAGAAAACATTTGTATGTGCTTCAAATTCTTCAAGATTTTAGAAGATTTTTATTCCAGTAGATTTTAACAAAGTTTACACTTTTTGAAACTACATAAAACTCTCACTGGAACTCATTATTTCTGTGGACACTAAGAAAACTGGAGCTAAGTTGATAACATTACAAACTGTTTGTTTCAGCTCAACAAAGTTGAAATATACTGAGACAAACCTATTTTGCATTTATATGCTCACCATTTCAATTAATTTTTTTATGGTTGCTTCAGAAACAAATGTTTCATCTTTTGCCTCTGTGAGCTCTAAAAAATGAGGCCTATACTAAAATATATAGTTTTCTAAAAGCCAGTGGTGTAGGCAGTAAAGCATTTTGAGTAAGACCGTTAAAAAGTGGGTAGACCCACATTTTTCAAACATGATTTTCTCCACAATGTGATAACATCAGGGTTCAGCCTATTGCTGACAGCAGTGCAGTCACCATCGTATCTATTCCAACTCTTCTGCCTTATTGGAACTATACAAATCAACAAAACTGCTGTATCCACATAAACTTACCAATGAAGATGACATAACGGAGTTAAAAGAATGAGATGTCAAAAGCACCACACAACTGAAAACCTAGACTTTGAAGTATGCTAGGTTAAAGACTATGGCCATGGTGGACATGAAAAATGTTAATGGACCATTTACATCTTACCTTTGATGACTTTTATCACAGAAGTAGATATTTGCATTTTGTCACAGCCTATGTAGCGTTTGTAGTAAATGAACATTGTATATACCAGATTAGCAGACTAAATACTAGTGTTGTAGTCAAAAATTTGTGACTTCATAGTAGTCGAATTTGATTCAAGACCAAAACCATATTAGGATGCTTTAGAATAAAATGCAACCTGTTTTTAGTTAGTGGTAAATAAATCAGTTTCATTATTTAATTTTACAAAATTTTGTAAAATATAAAATAAAATATAAATATCTAAAAATATTATTAGTTAATATTAAATGATAGCCTTAGTCCAAATTTCCACTGAAGCAACAGTAAGTAAAAAGCAATTGTGCATTAAAATGTGCAGAAGTGTGTTTTCTGTAGAGGATGTGTTATTTTCACTTAGCCATTTAAACCTAGTTGTTCAAACCATTGCATATCACTTTGCAAAACTTTAAAATACTTAAAACGTTCGGCCACAATGAGCAAAGGTATGTTTGGAGAAAAAAGAGTGCAGAATTTCATGAAAAGAACACCTCTCCAACTGTTGAGCATGAGGATGGATCAATCATGCTTTTGACTTGTGTTGCAGCCAGTGGCACAGGGAACAAGATGAAGATGAAAAGAGGAAGGCTTTTATAACAGGATAATGACCCTCCTCAAAATCCACAATGGACTACCTCAAGAGGTGCATGCCGAAGGTTCTGCCATGGCCCTCAAAGTCCGCTGGTCTAAATTTCATTGAAAATCTGTGACTTTGAAGTATACTAGGTTAAAGAATACGGTCATGAAACATGTTAATGGACCATTTACATTTAAACCATGAAAGTGCAGTGCATGCTCTGCAAGGAAGAATGAGCAAACATAACCCTAAACAAGAACTGAGAGACCTAGCTGGCTGTAAAAAGCATTCGCAAGATGTAATGCTTGTTAAAGAGGGTATTACTAAGAACTGATTATGCAGGGTGCCCCATTACACAAAACCCTGTTTCCTTAAAGTTGGGATGCTATGTAAACTGGCAAAATGTCAATTAAAACAGAGTGCAAAGGTGTGTAAATCACTGAAACCCTTTAATTACTTAAGCCAGTATATCAAATGTTGAAACTGAGAAATTTACTGTTGTTTAAAAAATATATATCCATTTTGAATGTGATCTTCAAAACAGTGACTTTACTGGAGAAAAAGAAGCCTTATAATAAAAATTTATGTAATGAGAGCAACAAATGTCATTTGACCAGGAGTGCACAAACTTTTGCACACCATAATTGTATATACTCACCGAACTTCAGTTTCCAGGCATGGAACTCCACATCCTCCAGAGAGACACTGGCTGCACCAGCCACGACCACAAGAGCGGTGAGAGTGAGCAAAACCTTCATTCTGCACAGAGTAAGTGTGAATAGGGGTTGAAAGAAGTTTATATAATATATTAAAATAAAATTATTTCTATTTACATTAATTACATTCACAGTATATTCAATCAGGAAATTTACTCCAATGTAGTTTGTTCTAGTTTTATTCTGTTTTCTGTCTCCCTGTTCTGATCAGCAATGAATTATTAGTGAGACACACAGTTGATTTAACCCCTTTCTACAGGCCTAATTATTATGAAAATGAAGATTTCTGTCTCTCCTGTAAACATTTGGCATTGGATATGTTAAATTAATTAATTAAAATGTCTACACTGTTTATAGTTTATTTAAAAATATTCATATCTAAGACTGAACTGAGGGACCTCCAAAACAGGCTAAAAGGCTGGAAAACTAACATTTCATCTATCAGTGATTTTTCGGTCAGTACAAATTGTTAAAATTATTTTAATATTTCATTGCTGATGTGTTACTGCTACAATCACTTATTATTTATCAAAAAGGGAGTGGGAGAGAGCTGTTCTGGCTGCATGAGCTTACTACTGCCCCGTGCAACTTTTATTAGGGTATGTCCATGCCTTGATTTTGAGATCTGTTGGGTTCTAATAAGTTAGTTAAGGCGCTATATGGTGCATTTTAAGTTGCACTAATTTCATTTTTTTGCTCTATGGCTGCGTTCACATGAGAAGCCTCATTGCTCACATCCAGGACGGTTCACACTCGTTTAGGTAAGTGACTCAAATCTGTCATTAATGTGAACGAACCGGTGTCCTGAAATCACATTTGCACATCCTACTCAGTAATGTCACATGAATGAATCACGGGCATCATGTGCATCATCAGCAAACAAACTAATGTGCGGAATGAGCCTTCGCTGTGAAGATAATTAACTCTGATCAGCTCGTAGCTGTTAATTTTTAGAGCGAGACGAAGAGAAAAAGTGAGATGAGCTGATTTTCCACCGTTTACAGGCTTTAACTGCTGCCATGGTAATGCTGAATGATAGCACACGCACAGTGGGTAAAAAAACACATGAATTTTGCCACATTAAGGTTTCATGGCCATGAATCGGATGCTTTTCCGATCTAGGACCACATATATAAGTGGCTCAGGTTGGATTTGAAAAGATCCGTGTCCACACAGGCCTGAAAAAAAATAGATCTGAGTCACATTAGGACAAAAAATCGGATTTGTACCACTTCAACATGGTAATGTGAACATAGCCTATGTTTCCCGAGCGCCATCTGGTGGCCTTTTTGTGTACAGCACTTGTGCTGAAACCAAGCTGCACAGTTCAGAGTAGCTGAAATGATTATCTGCATTACTTTAAGCATTGTAAATTGAAATTCATCTTAGAATGTGTTTAAACTTTAAATTAATCTACCTCATTTTGTTTTATGTATTGTACAAATTTATTTCACATGTTTTGTGAACATGTAGAAGCATAGTGGATGCTTGTACGGGGAGTGGGAGAGAGCTGTTATGGCTGCTTGAGCTTACTGCTGCCCCATGCCCCATACTTTTATTCAGGAATAAACCTTCAGATCTGCACTTCCTAGGGTGTGCGTGCCTGGTCTCAACTACTGTCTTGAGTCTGCTACACAAGAGTGCAAGGGTCTCTGACCTGAAGTATATGTGTGATATGACATCTACTACAGATAAAAAAGTTATTTTATAAAAAATAAATAGTAAATAGAGATATTAAATGCCAAACACATTCAAAGTGTATAAAAACAAACTGCAGATTAACTCAAAAACAATAAGAAGCCCTAGTTGAAATCTAATAGTTTTCATATCTTCAGCTATTTTAGTTAAGCTAGTTAGCTAGCATACTTGTTATACAAACTACAGACTAACCAACCATTTCAAATTCTTTGCCTCTTTCTTTTAAATACGATATATAGTCAGTGTAGTGCTTCAGTTCTGTCCTTCAGACTGAAGGTTTTTCTATATTGAAAGGCTTATTATTTGAAATGTTGTTGAACCTGTCAGGGTTTTAGTAGGTTGACTTTGTACAATGCAATGCTTGCATCTAATAACAAGACTAAATTAAAATGATGTACTAAACACATAACACTGTAGAAACAACAGCTGGCCACAGAGTACCTTTAAGATTCAGAAGTTTGCCTGCGTTTTATTATCTTCTGTCAAGAAACACTCTAATAGAATTCAAAATGGGAATCAATCTAATAGTTGGAGCTGGAGCAGAGTCTCAGAAGTTGGTGATTGGAAGGTAGAAGAATCCCAATTCAAAATTCAAAAATAAACTTGAGGGGTAGCATCTTAAAGGATTAAAAACATTGGGAGTGTTCCAGTCCTTATCATATCTGGTTCCCAAAGCTGTTGGGTTTCTCTTTCCACATGGGAGGTGTTCGGAGTGATATCTCAAACTCACCCCCTCCGCAAGCTGTGATAACTTGACCTGGAAATAGCAGTATAGCAATGCTACTCTATCCAATCTGATAGAGCTTTAAAATTTCTTCAGATAGAACTGTGAAAGGACCCAAAAATTCAGTGTGCCAGGTTTGAGATAAAAAAAATTTGAGACTGAGTCCAGCCAAGTATCTCACTACACAAAAATCACACAATCTTTTACAATCTTTAAAAGAAACATCTTAAATACTTTTTATTAACTATTTCAAAATCTGCACACAGTGCAACAAGCAACAAACAGCTTCTTTGTAAACAACTGTCCAAAAGTAACACTAAACATTACGGCCAGCGAGTTCAGTTTGATTACATAAGACAATAAAATCTTGCTCCTCTTGGTCTGAGAGTCCTTTAGGTGCTGTTTGGTAAATCCAAACCAGCTGTCATGCGCCTTCTACTCAGGGTCATCTTCCATCTGGAAATTGTACCATAAAGCCCTGACTGGTGCCGAGATGGCTGTTCATTCATGTCCACACAGCATCTCTGGAGTCAAATCACCTGAATAAAGCCTTTCTCTTCGGTTTTCAGTTTGGTTAGGTGGCCAACCTTACTAGAGTAGTTTAAGATTTCTTTTTTTTTAAGAATGAGGCCACTTCTCTTTAGGACTGGCAGAAATGTTTTGGTACCCTTGCCTAGATCTTTGCCTCAACACAGTCCTTGGAGGTCAAAATGTTCCTTTGACCTCATGGTTAGATCTTTGTCCTAGCATGCACTTTCACACATGGGGCTTTATATAGACAGAAGTGTGCACTTCCAAATCATGTCCAATCAAGTGAATTTACATAAGGTATTTTACTAGAAGATGTAGAAACATCTCAAGGATGATGACCGAAAACCAGATGCACTTGAGTTCAATTTTGAAGGCCACTGCAGAGTCTGAAAAATGTATTGCAACAAAATCTTTTTTTCACTTTTGATGCTATCAGATTTACTCTGCTTACCACATACAGCTTACTACAAACCTAGCAGACACTCTTACCTAGATCATCTTAGGAAATACATAAACAGTGCTTTCCTACTAATAAAAAAAGTCCTGCCCTGCAAGGGTCTATGACTCCTCTATCCTTACTCCTTGATCATTCAAAGCACATTTTAAGTACTGATATGTCCTGAAAAATGACAGACTTCACTTTCTTGGTCAGGGGCTGAGGAATCAAGGAGGTGTCAGTAAAAATTGTGAGATCCAGCCACTGACTCACATCAAAGAGAAAAGGGACAGATTGTGGGCAATGCCTCAAAGATCATTATCAGTGATCTTTCAAAACATCAGGAGTCTTGCACAGAGCCAGCACTGGAGACATGCATGGAGCTGGCATCGGAGCCCTGGGAGCAGGAAATGGAGCAGTCTGGAGAACTCAAACAGAAGACTTGCTTGGAGCCAGCACTGAAGTCCTGGGAGCAGGAACTGGAGCCATCTAGGGAACAGGAGCAGTCTGAGGTGCAGGAACTAGAGTGGCCCTGAGAGCCAGAACTGGAGTGGCCCTGGTAGCTGGAAATGGAGAGCTCAGGGAGATGGAACAGGAGCCACCCAGGTAGCAAGAACAGAAGAGTCAGCTCCAGTTGTAGTTGCCAACCCAGGGGCATGCAGAGTTGGCATGATGAGAGCACTGGGTAGAGTCTTCAGAGCAGACCTCGACAGGCCAGTGCTGCCTCCTTTAAATATTGCAGGACGAGCGTTCAGTGCCAGGCTATGCCTAATTCCACATTCTCTCTGGCTGTGGATAATGGTTGGAATGAGGAGGCACTCATGCCCACTTTCCAGCAGGGCCTGAATGATGAGATTAAAGGTGAGCTGAACCTCCCTTCCCTCATCGAACAGGCCCTTAAGCTGGACAACTGGCTACAGGAGTGCTGTAGGGAGTGTGAGACAGAGCACCCTAATGCAGGGTCCCATCAGAGTTCTCCATTGTATGCTATTCCTCCCAAGCAGGCTGAGCAGACCATTCAATAAGAACATACCGGTCTTTCCTGGCAAAAACATGACTCTCACATGCAGGAAACAGGTGCGTTTACTGCAGGGCAAGCCAGCCACTTCCATCCTGAATGTCCTGAACTTAAGGGAGAAGCCAAGGCACTCAGGCTTTTCCTAACTGCTACCCCCTCTTGGGGACAACAACATGGAAAATGGCTCCAGCATTGAGAAACCTGCTGTGGCCTCCAATCAGATCAGTGTTTTCTTGGTCAGCTGGAGATCTTTGGCAAATGCAAAGCCTAAATTTAGAGGCTGTTCTCTCTTTTGGGGCCAGGGCAAACAGATACAGATGAATGTATCAGGGATCTATACATCTGCATTGATTACCAGGGTCGAAACAAAATAACTGTCAGTGAACATCGTCCTCTGTTTTGTATGACACAGTTTTCAATAAACTGGACTTGTACAGTGCCTACAACCTCCTTAGGGTCCCACTAAGGTGCAGAATGGAAACAGCATTCCCTAGGGACACTATGAGTAGCTCATGATGTCCTTCAGGTTAAGTAATGCACTAGCTGTCTTCTGGCACTTCATTAATGGAGATCTGCAAGAAGCCCTGAATCACTATGTGTTCATTTACCTTGATGACATGCTCAATTACAGCTGCTCAGTAGACGAACATGTCTGATGGATTCTCCAGCTTTGCTCGAGAACTATTTATATGTGAAGCTGGAAAAATCCCTTTTCCACACCCAGTTGGAAACCGTTCATAGGTTTGTTGTGTCAAAAGGCAAACTGAGCAGGCACTTTAAGACCAAGGCCATCATGGCTGCACCCCACCTCTCTCCACTTGACTCAAAGCTTTCTGGGCTTCGCCAATTTCTTCTGCCAATTCATTGAGGATTTTAGCACAGTGGCCACTACATTGACTGTCCTCTCAAAGACAGGCACAGGTTGGACGCTACGGATCCCCGACCCTGCAATAGCATTTTTAGTGGCGGTCTCTGATGTTGGTGTAGGGTCATTCCTGTCTCAGTGATCCACGAGTGACTTGTTCCACTTGTCTCTTTACTAGGCCCAGACCTTGGAGACTTCTGAGCAACAGGGGTGCTCCAGCTATGAAAGGGCCTGGGAAAGTAAGATGGAGGTTGGCTGCTTCAGTTGTTGCATCTGTGCCATCTGCTCTTGCACTGCCCACTGTTTCTAGCTTGTTTTGGGCATTAGCTTTCCACAGAAGTCATTTATTTCCTTTTATTATATCTTACTATATTGCATCTAGTAGATGGTGAATGCAAACTCCTTTCTGCTGGTTTACTATGTTGCCTTTAAAGAATGGCAATTCTTCAAATTTGTTCTACTGTTCCCAGCTACATTACGAACTGACACTACAGAGAGTTCAAGGCATTTCACTGATCCTGCAAAAGCCATTGTGTTCTTTCAGAGCATGTGAAATGTGCAAGACTGGGGCCAGACAACAAGCTTGGATATTAGCTAGCCTAGTTACTCACACCTTCATTGTCCCAAAGCAGATTGCCTAGGCGTATTTCCCTCTAAGGACATTAAGTTATGGTTGGAAATTTGTTTTCATATCACCAGGGTTTGTTCACTGTTGAGGTAGCACTGTTCATAATGTTGTTTACACTTACAACAGAGAGAAAGAAGGCCAACATATTCTGTATTTAACTACTGAGTTAAACTTATACTGTAACTTATACAGAAGCTCTATTTATTTATTTGTTTATTTTATTTTATTAGCAATGCTTATCGACCCATGTGTCTGCACATGCACAATGTTAGGTTTAGGTAAGTTACTCTGAGCTCCATCTCCTGTATATAAAGTGTTTCTATTGCACAGTGTTTAATTGCCACGATCATGGTGTTGACAACGAACATCATGGTCCCATGAGTGGAGACTTACAGCATGTATGTCTGTAACATGTTGGAATGTGATGAACCCTTTAGAACTAAATCATCAATAAAGTGTTAATCATAAAAAGTTGTGTTGCATTATAAGTTTTTTTCATCACTGAAATTAATCTGAATCTCAGTATATTTGCCTCTTTCTGGATAACCATGTCTGTAGGTGAGCCAACATGTAAAAAGTAACATAACAACAATGATTATAATGGAGTATTTGAGTCGTAGTTTCAGTGTAATCACCCACATTATTCTGAAGAACTGATTTTTTCACCTGACGTAAGATGCAGTGAAATACAACACAAGGTGGAAAGAAGTAAGTTTGCATTTATGGGTCTAACACCACTTAGTCTTACTGTAATTTCAGCCTGTGACTACGTCTGTACATCACACTGTCCCTGAACATCTAAATACATAAGAGGAAGGAAACTAAGTAGAAACCGGTGAATTAGTATTATACAGCACTAGTACAATGGCTACAATGACTGAATGTTTAGTGTTACTCACTTTTTACATGAGTGTAATTTTATGAATGTTTCTACCAGTGTGTGCATTTCAGCTCTTACCTCTGTGTGATGTTCTGCAGTCTTGAAGCTCTATGTGTGAATGATGAGGTGAATGTATCGGCCCTGTCGGGTTTGGTTTTTATAGTGACTTCATCTGGCTAATCCACCACAATGACGCTTATCTCTGTGCTAAAGATGCCGGTAAGCACACTCTGCTCACCACAAACAGTTTGCCACAGACATCTCACCACAAACATCTCACCACAAACATTTTACCACAAACATCTCACCACAAAAAGCAGACTTTATCAAGCTCATCTTCTAAAATAAGCAAACAGTGGCTTTTAGACACGTTTTAGCTGTTGGCTAAATGCTTTCTTTGTCGTAAATTTGGAAAAGTGTGAATTTGGTAAAGGAGTTAAAGACTGCAGGACAGGGTCAGATGAAGCCTTTTGACGCTAAGGTGCAAACAATTCTATAGCTGCTTTTGTACAAATGTTTCGGTTATTGTGTCACCCTGCATTAACCTTCTGCAATCAGATGCCCCTTCTGCATGATCACTCGAGTGCCAGTCAGCATCTGATTCTGTGAAGCTGCTGCTCATCAGTTCCCCTGTGTTTGCTGCACTTGATTTCAATAAGCTGTTTAAGTTGGAAATCAATGCAAGTGATACAGGTGCTGGCAGTGTTCTTCAAGAAGATGAAGATCACATTGACCATCCTTTGTGTTTCTTTTCCAAGAAGTTCTTAAAGCATCAATTTGCCTGTAACATAATCTGGCTCTGTTGTTAGCTTGGTAGTAGTTCTGTTCCCATCACAATTTTCACTGACCATTTAACTCATAACAACACATAGAGAACCCAATAAAACAAATTATACAAAAGGTATATATACCTTTAGTTTTAATGCATTCATTGAACAAAGTCATCTAACATTAAATGTCTTTTTTGGCAAAAGTGTGTGAGCCTCTAATTTCAGGAACTACTGTGACCCCCTAAGCAATAATGATTTCAGCTAAGCAGTTCCTGTTAATATCGATCAGCCATGCACATTGATTAGAGGAATCTTGATCTAGTCCTTCTTACAGAACTGCTTCAACTCCGATTCTTCATAGACTAACTGTTGTTTTTCGGGTCGTTGTCTTTCTGCAGGATCCACCATCTGTTGAGGATCAGTTCACAGATGGATGCTCTAACATTCACCTGTAGAAATACCATCCAGAATTCATAGCTTCAACAAAAGATGTCAAGCTGTCCTGTTCCAATAGAGGCAAAACAGCCCCAAACCATGATACTACCACCACTGTGTTTCACAGTTGGGATGAGGTTTTATGCTGGAATGCAGTGTTTAGTTTTTGCCAAACATAACATTTCTCACTGAAACCATAAAGATCTATTTTGCCTCATACATCCAAATAACATTATTATAGTATTCTTCTGGCTCATACAAGTGATCTTTACTAAATTTGAAACAGGCAGAAATGTTCTTCCTGGAGAGTAGTGGCTTTCTCCAAGCTATCATTCCCTACGTACTATTCTTCTTCAGCGTTTGCCTAATGGTGGACTCATGAACACTGACATTAGCCAGTGTAAGATAATCCTGCATATCCTGTTATGCCTTGTGTTTTTGCCTGGTCTTGTGTGTTCTTGTATTCATTCCAGATTCCATCCCACAACTTCACCCTTCCCGCTCCCAGACTCTGCTGTGTTCCACTGTGTGGTTTCATCTCCTCCCACCTGCTTAAAGAGGACCCTGATGGCTTGGTCAGGAGGAGACTTCCTCATTGTATTGCTGCTGCCTTTTGTGTACATTTCGTAGTCCTTGATTTCTTGCCTATTTCGCTTGTTACTGACCTTGATTGTTTTTGACTTCGATTTAGCCTGTTCCCTAATAACTGTACATATATTGTAGATATTTGTAAATAGTCAGTGTGAACCGGCTGTAGGGAGTGGCTGCTATTTTGCTTGGGAACAGGGTTGTCTGTGCGTATGGCTAGTCGGGAAGGTAGATTAGTATACTGTTTTTATTTCATTTTGTTTGTATGTAGGATAGGTAGAATGTGTTATAAAGTTAATGTGGGTTTGTTTGTTGTTTTGGCCTAAGCCATTCCTGACGTTGTTGCCGGTGTGAGAATCCACTATTTGTGCTCATATCAGTCACGTAATACAGTCTTTGAACTTAATAGTTATGTCTGGTGTTTCTTCTCCTCACCCACATCACATTTAATACTCACTCTGTTCATATTTTTACGGCCTAACCTAGACCGAGTTGTAACACATTTTGGGGGCTCGTCCTCCATTTCTTTGTTTGTGTGGCCTTGCTGCCTTTTGTGCTTGGGTGGGTTTTTTGTTGTTCTGGCTGGTGGTTTTCTCTTTTGGGGGGGGCGTGATGTCTAAGTCTGATCTTTCAGTGTTTGTTATTAACCCTCGTTGGGAACAGTTTGATGCATGCTGTAAGACTGACCTACTCTTGGTCCCTTGTTCTGCTCCTAAACGAGAGATAAAGATTGAGTTAGAAACTCACCTTGTTATGTTGGGCATTCTGCCTGAGAGGGAAGGATTCCTGGGTGTTGCTTCAGGCCATACTCCGGGTGCGGAAGCGGTGGAGGTTGAAGATGGCTCGGTGCACCGGCCGCGCATGGATACCAGTGGTGCCCTTTCTCCTGGGTTGGATCCTCACCTGGTTGTTCAGCTGAGGGAGCTGGAGCTGGAAATTAAAATCCAGGAGCATGAAGCAGAGGCTCTCTGCCTGAAAGCGATACAAGTTAACGCTGAGAGGGACCTTGAATCGAGGAGGCTGAGTTTGGCGAGCGACAAGCCGGTCTCTCTCCCTCGGAGCGCTGCCTCTCTCTCAGCTTGGACGCCCACTACCGCTGGCCCTCAAGCAGCTGCTGCTCCACCAGTGCCCAAGCCCCGCTCTCCCATATGCTCAACAGCCATAAGTAGCGCTGGTCAGTTTGATGTCAGTTGACAAGTTAGTCTTGTCCCAACCTTTAGAGAGCATGAGGTGGATGCTTACTTTCCCATATTTGAGTGTATCACTACCGCTCTTTGTTGGCCTAAGGATCTGTGGTCACTGTTACTGCAGTGCAAGTTAGTTGGGAAAGCCCAGAAAGTGTGTTCTTCTCTCTCATTGGAGCAGAGCTTGGATTATGAGGTAGTGAAAGCCACAATTCTGAGGTCTTATGAACTGGTGCCCGAAGCCTACTGCAAAATTGTGGTTTTGTTTAGTTTGCTAGGGAGAAGACTGTTTTGTTTGAGAAATAGTGTGCGGCTAGCAAAGTCACTACGTTTGAAGAGCTCAAGGAGCTCATGCTACTAGAAGACTCAAAAAGTCTCCCAGAGAAAATCGTTGTGTATCTTAATGAGCAGAAAGTGTGCAGACTATCTGTAGCTGCTACATTAGCTGATGAATTTGTTCTTTGTTTCACCTTAGCACCGTGGTGTTGTTTCTTGCCGCACTCCAGTAACAAGAACCCCTGTTAACGCTGCTAGTTCCTCCCGACCCAATACTCCTCTTTCTACGGCTGAGATGCGGGAATGGGCCACCTTATTAGTCTTACTGTAATTTCAGCATGTTCCTCTGTCTGCACATCACACTGTCAACAAAAATCTCACCATAAACATCTCACCACAAAAAAGCAGACTCACTTATCAAGATCTTCTTCTAAAATGAGCAAACAGTGGGTTTTAGAGACGGTTTTAGCTGTTTGCAAAATGCTTTCTTTGTATTAAATTTGGAAAAGTGTGCATTTGGTAAAGGAGTTATTTTTGACTTGTTTAATATAATCTTCTACTTGCTAACTCTGTGAGAATGTATGGGTTCAGTCCTTGGCGAAACATCACTAGTAACATTGGTTCATTCCATCCGCTACCTGCTGCCAGGGTACAGAATTCTGAGAGTACTCAGCTATCATGTGATATAGTTATAAACAAGTAATGATGAAATGCCTTAACTCTGAACTTTTGAATGTAGCAAACATCAATTAATTTAAAATTATTATTATGTCAGGTGTGACACTTTTTTATTTAACATGACAGAAAAAGCACACAGTAACACCAGTGACACAATGAAACACCAAAGATCTCCCAAATCTAATTAAGAAAGTGAGACATTTGAGAGAATGTTACATTTGGCATAAAATCAAAGGTTATCATTAATACTTAATGAAAGCACTAAGTAAAAGACACAAGTCATAAACAACAGTTTAAAAATATATAACTTTATTAGAAAACAACTAAACCTGTCCAACAAGTACATTGTCTAAACTAAAATACTATAACCTCAATCAGGTTTTCATTCTAACCAGAGTACTGAGAGAGCATAGGTTCATGTTGTGAATGACCTTAGGCTCAGTGTTGATGCACAAAATCCTTCCATTCTGTTCTTACTGGATCTTAGTGCAGCTTTTGATGCTGTTGACCCCAAGATTCTAATACACTATCTTGAATACTGGGTCGCCTCTCAGGTACAGTTTTAGAACAATTGAAATCATATTTAGGTAATAGACAATTCATGGTTTCAATGGGAAATCATTCATCAAAAAATGTAACATTTCTTAAGGAGTTCCTCAAGGTTCAGTTTTAGGGCCTTTGCTTTTCTCTTTGTAGATGTTACCTCTCGATGTGATGTCATTAAGAAACGAAATATCAATTTTCTTAGCTATGCTGATGACACACAGTTATACATTTCTATACCCTCTGAAAATCAAGACTGTGTAGACAGACTAACCAGCTGTGTGTCATGTATTTCTCAGGGGATCTCACAAAATTCTCTACAATTAAATCACAAAAAAATGGATAATACTGATCTTTGGTACTAAAACTCTAAGAAATGCTTTGTGAGAAACTTGGTTCTTTAGCTATATATACCAAACCTGAAGTACGAAACCTGGGTTTGATCTTAGACTCTGAGCTCTGTTTTATCTGCCTGTAAACACAATGAACAGCTTTGAATAACATTTATCTAGCACAGGAGTCACTGGTGTTACTGATCATCACTGGTATTACACATAAAAAAGGTAACACCAGTGACATTTTTCAATGGCTGTTACAGAGTATCAAACCCCATGTTGTCAGTCATGGAATATCAACTAAAATATATAGTTTA